CAAATTTATATCTCGCGATCTAAGCGTTTTTCAGATCAATGGCCGATAGACTGATAGAAGAAGAGAAAAAAATACAGTAAAATCAAGGACGTTTCCTGCGAAAGAATAGTAGAAGTAGGCAGTTAGCCAAGAGATATCATATGAACCCGATATTTCCAGATCCACAAGATAAATACGAAAGACAGAATTCATTATCGCAAAATCGACTTTTTATATGCTGAACAGAATCGGTCCAATTGTTTTTTCTGAATAGCTTATTGAATGAATGTACGGGCAGTAAAGTATCTCTTTATTCAAATCACTTTTCGCATAGTGGCGCCACGATTCGCACCAAAATGCGAAAAGTGATTTGAATAAAGAGATACTTTACTGCCCGTACATTCATTCAATAAGCTATTGAGAAAAAACAATTGGACCGATTCTGTTCAGCGTATAAAAAGTCGATTTTGCGATAATGCAGATAAGGTAAATCATCAAATATTCATAACGTTAGAAGATGCGATGCTGCTTGTCCATGTAACTCTGCTACCAGAGTGAAACTCAATTACGATCTTTTTGTATTTTGTTTCTCCTATAACTTCGAGAGCGAGGCGTCCTGTCGAGTACGGGAACATCTCAAAATGTCTCGCACACGTTTCCTTTATTCTGAGATATTTCAGAGCTTTGTCTCTCGAACTTATAGGAGAAATAAAATAGAAAAAGATCGTAATTGAGTTTCATTCTGATAACAGAATTAATTAGGTGGAATAATCGACTGAGGTTATTGATTTTATTTTGTTTATGGAATTAAACTTAATTTTCTTTAACTTTGAGACATGTAACGCCCACACATCCTTGACCGCAAGTCTTTCCGGCAGGGGTGACAGAACCGTGGGTGCTTTGACACCCACAGATTTTGAAAATTTTCGTTTTCTTCTCGCAGAAACTTATTTTTCCTTTGCATTCTTGTCCGTGAGCACCCGTAGTTTCAAAATCAGCTCTTCTAACGTTATGAATATTTGATGATTTATCTTATATCTGCATTATCGCAAAATCGACTTTTTATATGCTGAACAGAATCGGTCCAATTGTTTTTTCTGAATAGCTTATTGAATGAATGTACGGGCAGCAAAGTATCTCTTTATTCAAATCACTTTTCGCATTTTGGCGCGAATACTGCCGCCACTATGCGAAAAGTGATTTGAATGGTTCATGTTTTCTCCTGGAGAAACCGTTTCTCCTCGAAAACTTCATTCTTCTCGTCAAGAAATGCATCTTTCTCCACAAGAATTTCATTCTTCTCGTCTATTAAGGCCTCAACCCCCTCCAGAAAGTCGATTTTCGTCAAAAAAATGGATTTTGAGATAAACACATGGGCATGATGCTTGAGTTGTCTACTTTACAAATCTGTAAAGATATTATTGAATCTCTTGAATTGAACATCTTGAAGTTTTTTATGCGATTTTCGTAAAAAAACTTAAGTTAGTTGGAATTATTATTACTTATATTTATATAATATTATAATTATTATATACAATAGCGACCAATAGGTGACGTCATCTATTGCGGGATACGTCGCGACAATCATAGTGCAATGCGCCGTGACGTGTATTTACCATTTACATGCAATTCTTGCATTTTTATGTTGGTTGCAGGTAATATTCACAAAAAAAACTTGTTTATCATTTTTCACAAAACCGAGTTTTTTGTAAAATATCAATCTCTGAACAAATTTTTCTTCACTATAGTTTATTCTATTAAACTGCGGCTTTTTTTATTTGATAGATAGATATATCCTTCTTCAGATGACGAGAAGGAATTTTTTATTTGGCTCTGAGTCTATGAGCAATCAGGTATTTTATGAAAAATCAAAATTAAAAAACCGTTTCCCTCATCTGAAGCACCAAGGAGTTCCCTTTCAAATGAGACCAGCCCGACCGCTTCATCTCGAAGTGTATTGAAAAAATCCTTGTATGCGTGGGTCCCTCATTTTGCCCCTTGGTACCTGTAAGACCGGTCCGGAAAAGATCTATGCATCTATATATGTTCTAGATACTATTCAAAGCATTCTTTCGAAAAGAAAGATGTCGACAACACTTTCCCGCTCACAACAGTAGTCGCCAGCATTGCCGGCTGATCTGTTGCAAAATGCGCAAGATCACTGGTTGGGTCAAGTAACTCCCCAACACTCTCAACAACATCAGATGAGTTGAAGTATCATAAGCCGTTGAAGCTAGTTATCCATACAAATGAGACGTCATCGAAACTAGATGTCGTTTCAACCCTTGAAACTTATCGGGGTAATACGAAGGAAGTCAGAAAAGAAGACCACCTTGATTACTTCGATTCCACCATTCCTATGTGCCAGACCAATCACAATTGCAAATTGAGTTAAAAGATTGATAAAACTTTCAGGAATAGCAACAGATCAGTTTCGAACACATTCTACTAGATGAACAGCAACATCAAAAGCGAAAGCACAGGACCTCAGCATTGAACAAGTCATGAGCGTAGCTGAGTGAAAAAGTGCTAAAACTTTCCAACGATTTTATGACAGAAGGTTGGACCCGAAAAGGTATTTCAACAAAATATAACAGGATATTCAATGTAAACTAAGCTTTAAACATACATAATAAGCTTGTTACGAAATGAAATTGGAAATTTTATTAGCCTTAGCGATATGAAACTGAAATTTTATGAGTAAAGACAGTAAGATAACCACAAGTCGGAATCAACTTAACTCCGACTTTTTTTCGCGTCTGCAGGCTTTGAAGAGACGTCAGTCGAATAAAAAAAGCCATCAGTTTGTACAGTAAATATCAAAGAACAAAACTCATAATTCAAAACGGTATAAATTCTTTTGGGGGCATGGCAGCACTGATCCATACGGCAATAAAATCAAAAACCATCAAGAATCAAACTTTTTACATATTGAAATAAATTCAATTCCAAAACCAATACAAGTCGGTGGTAATTTATTTACCACCAGGAACGAATTTTCCATAAATATATAAATAAACCTTTTTTATGTCAATAGGCATTATGTGCTTTTGCTGGGATTTTTGAAATTTTTCATTTTCTTCTTTCTTTCTTTCGTCCTTTTTTAGGCAAAATGTGCATCTCGTGATCTACAGAAGTATGAAAGCTAGAAAAGTCCTGGAAAAGGTCCGATATTCTCCCGACATTGGAAATTGATGAATGCACATTTTTCTCTTAAATAAACGTCCAGATCCGATGCCATAAGCGCCACAAGTGAAAGAAAAATGTATTTTGGACTTCAAAATTTTTCATATATGCAGTTGTTCGGCGCCATTTGTTCTTCGAAGGAAAAATAGTTCTCTCTCTTCTTCAAATTTCGTTTTCATTTCATTTTTCTTAAATCTTTGGAAAACGATCAATGCACGTTGTTTTTTCAAACACAAGTGCACATTTGGCGCCATTAGCTACACCAGTAGAACTAAAATGGTTTTGGGGCTTACGAGGGAACATTCCCAAGTGAGGCACTCCGTTAGATGTTCATTGGATTAACCGACACTTGAGCGACCGACGTTTAAGCGATCCTTTGAATGTGTACTACTCAAATGTTGGTCGCTCAAACGTCCGGTGACGACAAAGAAACTGTCATCATCATCGCTATCGAAGTGAACAATCATTCGATTTTCCTGATCGGAAAAAAAGTCATATTAAAAAGTGTCTAATGTCAGGATCCCTCAATTGTTAGGGGCGCTTAAATGTCGGTCGCTCAACCGTCCCGTGACAGTTCATTGTCAGCTCAAAGCTGCAGAAATAAGAAATTAATTTAGGGGTTTTCTTGTAAATTCTGTAAGTTTGCAAAGAAAGGTCATGTAGAGCTAGGAGATATCTCATTTTAATCAGAAATTTGCGGGCTACAATCATGACTCATTTATTTTTAAGAGAAACAGCAAAAAAGTCAGTACTAAAGTAAAACAAAAAAACGAAACTAAAATGCTCCCACTCTCGTTGCCTCTCAATACCTTATGCTCATTCAAGAAGGTTATTTCGGTGAAATTGCGTTGTTAAATAAGCATAATTGTCCTAAAATTTAATAGGGTTATATATTTCGCTAGCATACTAATAACAAATAATCACTTTGAATCGTATAAGACTAAACTTCTAATTTCTTTCATCGATAAAAACAGATAGGTGTTCATCGTTTCAAACGATGATAGATGAAAGATAGATGTTCATACATGGCTTTCGAAAGTTGTATTAAAATGAATTTATGCTAATAACAGTAATTATGGGAAATTTTTTCGATTGATTATGCTTTTAAAGAGAACAAACAAAATTTAGGAGCTAATTCATTCATTTACTAAAATCATTTGCATCTCAGTAGGTTCGCTGCAATCGCGGCTTGAAAAGTACGGTTCGCTTTTTTTCGAATTTTGTTTTGTGGCTGAGAAAATTCATTTTTTCTAATTCTGAGGCGAAAAAGTCGAAATTCTACCCGTAATTCTCAATTTTCTCTATCAGAACTCAACTTCTGGAATATAAGTATCATATTGGAATCAGGATAAAAAAACGCTGAGTTCTGAACGTTTTGATTATAAGGAAAAATCAAAAAATTCTTAAAATACATTCTTAAATTACATTCAGTCCTTTCTTTTCTCTTTCCTATTTTTCACTTAGCACTATTCACTCACTTTTCGCCCTTTCTGTTTTTGTTCTTGTGAACATATGTTGAACACTGCAAGGGGGAGAAAACAAAAGAATGCTGAAATTTCTTTATTAGTGTCCAACGATGCACCATCCGACAGCATACAACAAAATTACTAAAATCAAGATTAAAATCACCTTTTTACATGTTGAAATGGTCATTTCAACTTGTAAAAAGGTGATTTTAATCTTGATTTTTGCCATAAAATTTGTCACCTTAAACAAGGAATCAACAAAATTACTCACGAAATCTCAATTTTCCGATGAACAGTTACCAAGTATGTAATGACAATCAATACAAAGAAAACCGAAAAGCGTGTTCATATGCAGTTTTTTCGTTTCTTTTACGAGAACTGCTGAAGGCGTCCTAATAAATTGCTTAAATCTTCAAGTTCATCAACCAATTTATCATATAAATCATCTTTCTCCTTTTGAGTTTTTTGATTATCACCTAATAAAGCTTTAAGTTCCATTTTAACTTGTCTTATTGCTCCTTGTACTTTTGCACACTAAATAAATAAATAAAGAGACATGTGGACTCGGCTCACCAAAGTTATTTGTTACCTGTAATATTCTCGAGTATCTGCCGTTAGTCACTGTACAGGCTTTCAGAAGTTACAAATGTTCCAGAAATTTAAAGGTTGTACTGGAGGAATTTGTTAATGAAATTATGATAGTACAGTGATTGAACGTTCAAAAATATATACCCATATTTTTTACGGACGTTCTTTTCTCTCTCTCTCAATTTTGTGGCTAGAAATTTTATATTCTTCTCTATTCTATAGACTAACACTGTCTAGAAATGAATCTCATTGGTTAGTCAAATGGTTCACAGCTATAATCATAAGAAATTCAAGCATAAAACGTTTGAAAGGTCATGTTATATAGTCTAACGGATGTTGTAAAAGAGATACAAAAAGTCTAACGAGAAAACCTCATTGGGTGTTAATAATTAGACATTGCGGTCGATATTTTAGCGCCAATTCGTCTCTAATTACTTTTCACTTTTGATATTGTTTTTGATGCTCTTTAATTTTACAAAATCAATTATGAATGAATCGAGAAGACACTAGTTCGACTCTCTTCTTTCTTTACGCAACTTCATGATAAAAAAACTGTTTGGCTTTTGTGTTCTGATATGAGCCTCATTCTAACAGAAACTTTTTTTCTGTTGAAAGTTAGATTAATTTTGGAGTTTTATGAGCACGAATATATTCTCCGTCCAGCTCTTGTGGCTTTTCCAGTAGGCGCACTTTCTTCAAGTAACTCGACGAGGTCTACAGCGTGAACGAATCGGAATTTGTTCAACATGGAAGTAGATGTTTGAAGATCAGTTTCCCAGTGCCCCACTAAAAGCTACAAGAGTCGGTGGGACGCTATATTCATGATCGGCATCAAAAGTAATCTATAATCACGTAGATTTTAAGGAAAAAGTGAATGAACATTCCCGTGTAAAGAAAGCCTTCCACATTTGTCGTGATGAATGTTTTCACCAGTAACAGGGAAGGAAAGCAATCTGAGTTTTTCACAGAAAAAGTATTCATCAAGTTACCTGAAAATAATTCAAAATAGAAACTACATTTCTATCTAAGATGCACACGCAAAGCAAACTTCAAGAGAGATTTGTTTTTCGAACATATCACACATATTCCGATTGCCCACGATACGAGAATCACGAATCTCACCATACCAGCTCGATTCTACCATTCCGTCATAGAGAAAATTGCAAAATACTGAGAACCACTCAAAATCTCAAAAATTGCTTGTTACAGGAAAAAGTTTCAGAACTTTTCCAAAATATGCTAGAGGCTTGAGCTTGATATATTTGCATTCCTTCTTGAAAACTGAATCTAGTCAAGTTAGTTTCAAATCTTTCAACCCAAAGCTGAAATTTTGGGAAGCGTTGAAACGTCTATGGCTCAGGAACCAACACCCGTTGTTCAAAAATGCTAAGACTTTTTTATGTAAAGAGCTAGGCCTTAGATTCACACGTCATTGGATGGAGCACAGGATGAGTTCTAAAAATATGTAGAGCTTTTTTTGAAATTCCTCTTTACTGCAGAGAAATTTCACTTTTTCTACATCAGGACCGAAAAAAATCGGAAATCAGCCCGTAATTCTCAATTTTCTTCACCAAAACTCACCTTTTATGTAATAAAAGTATCATATTCGGAGTCAGCGCCGAAAACCGAGTCGAGTGGTATACCTTTTTATTCTTTCCGACTACTCTTGTTTTCTTCGAATTTTCGCGTCGCAAAATTACTAAGATTTTCTCCAAAAAAATGAAAATCAACGAAAACTTTCAAAACATATATCATTCGA